AAAAAAAAAAAAAAAAAAAAAAAAAAAGAAAAGAAAAGCAAATAGCTTTCTAGATTCTTAAAAATACAAATAGAGATTTATAAGCATATGCTAAAAAAACAATGAAAACATTGTCCCATTTCAAACAAATCTGTTAACATATATGCATGTTTCATCTTACTAACCATTATGCATTTCAAAACCTATCAAGAGTATAATAAATGTCAACAAAAAATCAGCCAGCAACAGTCTAGAATACTTTTCTTTGTCCTATTGACTAAATTTTAACTGTTCAAGGTAAGAATCTGAGAGGATGGTTTGTAAAGCATTACAATAACTTCAGAATAAGAGCATTATTTCCATGATTGCTATAGTTGAAATGTGTATTGAATTCAAGACCATCTACCATGATAGAAATGCAAACTACAGCGGAACACTACATCAACATATTTCACCTGCTTTATGGTATGAACTATGAAAACTAAATTACTCCTATCTATGCAATGCTTGGGCTGCCAATTATCTGTGAGGCGAAAGTCTGGCGTGGTACCTACACTGATTCTTTAGTGTACGTGTATTAATTTGCATGTATAGGATACATCTAACCATGTAGTAGCTTCTTAATAATTAATTTACAATGAAATTGTTTCCTCTTTTTCTCTTAAACATGTAGCCTGAAAAGTTCATATTTAATTCATTAATTATAAGATACCAGTAAGAAATAGGGGAAGGGATGATTTTAATGTTGGTCATTTAGCAAATGATTCAATGTAAACAATTAAATATTTTCAGCCTTAAGTGTATGCAACAGAATCCTATAAATACTTACACAGTGGAGTTAGTCACTTCTACTTGGTTGAAGGAATTTAAAGTTGCTTTACCCCTGTGTCTCAGAAAATGGTGGCACCTCAGTGGAATTCAATGCATCCTATACTGACTCTGTCGACACTTAGCCAATATGACCTAACTGGGGGTGTGCTGTCTTTTTCTTACACCTGTGAATTTTTCTCTCATTTATTTCTTAGTAACAAGGGAGAACTTAACCAAGCCTGTCAAAAGGTAATATATATTCTTGGCGGTTAAAAATGTTTAATTCTATTTCTTTCATATTTAGAGACTGGCTATGCAATACACTGCTATACACAGAAAAATAGGTTTTTAAAAAGTATTCAAACAAAAATGTTATTTTAGGATTTTAAATCTGCTTTAGGAGAACTAAAAGGAAAGCAAAAATTCCCGTTTTGTGTCTTTGCATTATTTTATTAGCATCAAAATAAGTTAAATTTATATTTTCTATTATAATAAAAATGAACTAATTTAAGAAAAAATACATCCTACATGTGAACAAAAATAATGATTCCCAGTACTGTTTTTGGGAGAATGCATGTATGCTGAGTAGCTACAGCAGACAGTGAAGTCCTCGGTTTTTATCTAGTCAAGGCTCAGAAACTAGGTTTCATTAACAGAACAAAGTTTCCAAATTAAGACGACTGGTATCAAACTGACTTTACAGACCACAACCCAACTGATTCTTTGCATCATATTGTGCAGAAATAAACTGGGAATCCTACGTGAGATTTTTACTCCAGGGCTTAACAGAATTGGTGAGCTTCCCACTCTGGTTACCCGCAAGAGATGTTGCTTTGGAAATGTGGCTCCAGCTAAGCCTCTTCAGAACTGGACACAATGCAAGAACAAATTTTTTTTTTTTGTATGAATAAAAGTGCTTTTAAATAACAGTGAAATAAAATGGGTTATCTTTTCCAATGTAAAACAGTTAAAAAGGTCATTAACATAAGCCCAATTTTAGTAAGGAGATAAGCAATGTATTATGTTTTAAACTTACCACAAGAGCAAAGAACACCATAAAGAAAAATGATAAACTACTCGTGTAGCCAAGAAAGCCTGTAAAATAACAGTAAAATAAAAGGCAAGTTATACGGAAAGTGATCCTAACATACAACTAATGCTACACATCTTGGGCATGTTTTCTATTACAGTCTTGCTATCTGGGGCTTAGGGCGCAGAATAACAACATTCCAGCTATCTGTCACAGATCATTTATGTAGCTCTGTACAGCGCAATTGGAACTGGCTTACCTCTAATGGTACACTGTAAGGAACGGCTGCTCTTTAATGTTCTGCTGTAAAGATTTTATTTTAGTGGGGCAGACAAAATACTACTGCAAACCACGTAATAGGTTAACTAGGCAGGGCTGAAGGCTCAACAACCTAAAACAAGGCCATGTTTAAAATTATTCATGACCACCACCCTTCTGCTAAAAATGTGGTACTGTGAAATGTAAAAGCCTCTTAGTATTTCTCTTTTTTTCTGAATAAGTCATGTGCTTTTCTACCAAGACTTACCTATTCTGGGAAGAAGTGCAAGAGGGAACACAATGCCAACACAAATGATTAACAACAGTGTTTGTCCATCAAGATACCAAGACCTAGTAGAAAAACGTTGTTTTAGGCACAGGACTCCAGTGTTTGTTCTTACACACACATGCACATATTACAACCATTACAACCACCCACAAGGAAATACTGACCTCCTTTTGTTAAAATGTATGTACTTAGGGAATCTCATAATTCTCTTTAATGATTCACCTTTAGGAAATGTATCAAAACAATGAGATGCCATTTTTCAACTATCAAAATAATAATTGCTTGAAAATAAAATAGCATTGGTAAGGAGAGATGAGGTATAAAAAACACTGGTGAAAATATAAACTTTTATGGAAAGCAATTTGGCAACAGATATTGAGACCCTACGAACAATTATGCTCTTTAATGTTTACAAGAGATTGTTAGAAATAAGGAAATAATCAGTAATAAGAACAAAATTTGTATAAAAAGATGTTTAATTGAAATACTAAAAATAGTGAAAACTGGAAATAAACATATCATAATACCATGGCAGTTTTGAAATACCAATATAATGAACATTCACTGAACATCATAGATATGTGTGTAGAGAGTACACTGCTCTGAGGAAATATATAAATACATTAAAAATGGAATCATGACATGTTGAGGCTAGCCATTATCTCTGAATGGTAGAATAAAGGGTAACTTTTCTTCTTTACAGTTTTCTTTACTTTTCCAAATTTTCAGGAAAAGAAAAAAGGCATGAATTACTAGATTTAAAACTATTAAAATTTTCACATAAGGACATTAGAATACTGATTGGAAAAAAAATAAAGTTGACAGTATTTGTGTTTTTAAAAAATATGAAAAACAAAAACCACCACTAGGTATGGTGGTACATGCCTGTAATCCCAGTTATTCAGGAGACTGAGACAGGAGGAGTGCTATTTTAAGGTCAGCCTTGGCAATTTAACAAGTTCCTGTCACACACACACACTGAGGAGGCGAGCACTGGGATGTAGCTCCGTGACAGAGCACTTGCCTAGCATGAACAAGGGCTTGGGTTTAATCCCTAGTAGCACAAAACAAAGTATGAATGTACATTTTTTTACAAAGAAGGATACACTGTACTTAAAACACCAAAAGTGTGGTAGAAACATGAATAATTTTCATTTTCTCCTTGTTTACATATACATGTATATAAATATTTAATTTTTCAATATGACATACGTGTTGAAATGTATTAACTTCCTAAGACCTTAACAGATTTGTATGTAAAGAAGAAATAATTTATGAAATATATACAACTAGTAAATATTTGTTTATATTGAAGACAAAAATCTAATCATTGGTGTTAATTAAAGATATGAGATTGTTAAAATTAACTTGATAAATTGATTAAAAATATTCAGGGGGCCAGGGAGATGGCTCAGTGGAATAAGCACTTCCCTGGCAAGCGCAAGGGCCTGAGTTCAATCCCCGGTTCCAAAAAATAAATAAATAAATAAAAATAATAATAATACTTAAGGATGCTACATTAATCCCAGAACGTTTCCAGTGATTTTCTACTCTCTTTTGGAAAAAATCACAATATATAGCAAGAGCAATAAAAAAGTATTTGTTATACTGAGAAAATTATCTAAAATGGAAAAAACTATCTGCAATATATAACACTTTTAATAGTAAGAAACTGAACAGAAAATTATATATCGAACAAGAGAATATATTTAGTTCAATAATAGCATATTCAATGGAATGCTATATTGTTTTAAAAATATATATTTTAGTAAAATGGAAAATGTTAATGAAATAATAAAATTGGTGATTATTAACTATTTTAAAAAGTTTAGAAAAATTCAAAGAAAATATAAGAACAAAGATTAGGTTAAATATACATATAATTTATTTTTGCTTTCTTTTTAAGTTTTCTGTAAGATAGTGGTTATACTTTTACACTAAAGCATGTATGTATGTGTACGTGTGTGTGTGTGTGTGTATATATATATATATATACACACACACATATATATGTATGTATCGCAGTTGTATGATAAAATTCATGCCAAAAGGGAACTGAGCATCGAAGACCAACTTGGTAGATGAATCAGTGTTTCCACTTTGCAGTAATGTAGCCAGTTTTACTTTCAATAGGTAGCCAATGGTTCCTAAGAAAGGGTTTTTCCTCAACATGGGTTTCAACACTTGGCTTCCAACATGGACCTTATGGTTCAGTATACGCCTTCTACGCTATGGCTAGTGAGAAGGTCTCTCCAACATACCATGAATCATTACTGCTGGGTGTCAACAGCCTTCCTTACAAAAACAAGAGAAGGAGCAACAGCAGAGGCAGCACTGTGATCACATCTTTCCTTTCCTTAACCCTATTTCACATCTTTCAGAAATGCGTGTGCAGAAGCTACAACCTATGCACAAGGGTTATAGCCCTCAGGATCTAAAACTGCACATATCCCCATCTGCACATGTCCCTCAAGTCCTGGTTTGCACAGAGTACTGAGTGTACACAGACCCAAAATACACAGTACCCAGCATGTCTATGTTCTAGTCACTTCTGAATAAGAAACAAGCTGGAATGTAAGAATAGTGCCACTGAGGAACACCTGGTGAGTACATTTCTGATGCTGGCATAAAGCCCAGGGATCCATGTCTGAAATGGCTTTCTTTCTGGGACCCAATATCAGACCCAGACAGTTGCAGTGCCAGGAGAAAATAGGCCCAGGGGAGCACCAAAGCAGATTCCATCTGTTAGTTCTGCTGTCCTTGCTAGGTAACAATACTGCACTGTATATTTAAATATCTGTCAGGAGGTTATATTTCAGATTGTATTGCTACTATCATAAAATAAACCAATTTGACTCTTTAAAAAGGAAACAAAACAAAACAACAGGAAGGTATAGCTGTAAAATGGGGAGAGTGTTAATCACCAGGATCAGGACTCCTCTCTTGCAGATTAAATAAGCACTTTTAGAAGTACTATCAACCCAGGTACTTCATGCTACTTGGATCACAATTCATGTATGTCCACTAGACTCACACGACTAAATAAAGCAAGGAACTGTGGATCTGAAGACACCTTGACCTCCTCCCAAAAGCGGCTGAGAACCACAGAGTTACGGAATGGGAGAGCTGGAAGGGAGCTAGAGACCATCTGTCTCCGCAGCTTCATTTTACATGTATATAAAACAAGCGATCACACTGATGATCTGGACAACAGTAATAGAAATATTCTGTTATACTTTAATCATCACTAAGTTCACGGTATATTTTGTTTTGTTTTATTTTATTTTATTTTTTTGGCAGAACCAGGGATTGAACTGATGCCCTTGCGCTTGCCAGGGAAGCGGTTATTCCACTGAGCCACCTCCCCATCCCCTCATAGTATATTTTAGATATTGTCTCATTTCAAGATCATACTCTATAGAACTAAACTTTACATTCTTTTTTTTTCCCCTGAACTTTACATTCTTTAATATAAAGGATTTTCTTGTAAAACAATTTCTGTCTTTGGTTTGGCTATTAATGATTATTAATAATTTCTTATCCTTACTAATTTATGTTAATAAAGCTAATTACAGACAACATGCTTTCCTTTACCTTTCATTTATTAATAATAAAGACCAAAATAGTAATGTACAGAAATATTAGATTTTATGTGCATCTTACAGCCAACTGAGTTATGTTTGGCAATAGTTATTTTCCAGAGAATAGACGTGATTAAACTTACAAAATAGATTCTCAGACTCAAAAACAGAAAGTACTGAAAAGAAATCTTAGAAAGTACATATTAAATAAACTTATTTTATAAACAAAGCTTAGTAAAGTACTAACATTAAAATTTTTCTTAAGTGGGAAAAAAGAATTACCTAACAGAACTCCTGTTTTCCTACTGTGATCAAAAGATACATTCTCTTTAAGCCAAAAGAATTAGAGTAAAAAGTTTTATACTTCCTAGAAAACTTGTTTGATCTGTGGATTTAATCCTATATGATAAAAATGTTCCAAGTATGAAATATAGAGTATAAATCCTTAGCTGTATTGCAAATGCTTTGGCATGCAGATGTTTTTTTCCATTTTTAATGAAAACCAGATTTATTTATAAGTTGCTTTAATTTCATTCTCGAATGAAATGGAACAAGAGTATCATATGGTCTGAATTAGGATCTTACTCACATCCCATATCAATTATGTAACTCAAATGCAAGACAACTTAATTGTATCAATCATAGTCCCCTGACAAGATCATTAAATGTTAACATAGAGCTTCCAACTTTTAACAACCATAGATTTGAAAATGTAAGTTTATGCTATGAAAAATATAGATGTATCATAAAATTTCAACATAAACATTATACCTTATTTCTAGTAATATTTTTTGAAATTAGAATATAATGAATATAGTTTTTATTGAAAATATTTTGAAAAAGTTTATTATTTCAGAGATATATCAAACACACTGACAATCCATAAAAGGACACTTGCAATATCTTAATTGACATTACAGTATATCAAACTTAAAATAAAAGTATATCAATCTTATATTGATTTAATATAAAAAACAGTACTATGCTTATAACTGTCTTTAGAAATAAGCTGCCCTAAAAAGAGTGAAGTTACTTAACACAACAGTTGTTTCTTAATTACCTTGCAACATGAAGCTTTAAAGGATGTGTTAGCTGTTCTCCAATTAGTATAGTCACTTATTAAAATGCTTCAAAATTGAAATCCAAAATAAACGAATAAAACATTACAAAGTGTGAAAATGTTAAAAAAAAAAAAACAATTTTAAAACATAAGAGAAATGATGCTAATTGGCCAGTGTTTTAAAGTATGTAGTTTGACATTGCCAGTCCTACAGATAACCCACTATTAAGGACTACTGGACTATAATGGATTATTTTGCTGAATTCACACACCTATAATATTTAAATGATAATGGAATACCCTTCTCTGACAAAACTAAACAAAAAAAGGGGATACAAATGAATGACCATTTTGTATTTGGATATTCAAAATAGCATAGATATACAGTTGCATTCTCTTAATTCAATGAGAAGATTTTTTATTAATAGTGTTTGGACAGGATATCATGTCTGCATCTCATGCTATGAATAACCACTACAAAGACAACAATATGCAATGTATTACTGAAACTATCCTATTAATCGGTTTTGAAATTGTCTCATTGCTATTTGTTTTTCAATAAAATTAATTATAAAAATGTATATAGTTTAAAAAATTTATTTCAGATGTATAAAACATCATAATCCACTCTGTATTAATATGAATGATAGTAAATCTTAATTTTTTAAAAATCAAACCAGAAAAAACTCCAACAATATGAATTTAAAAATTTAAATTCAATTTAAAACGAAGTTATGGTAAAAAGATCACTTTTAGAGAGAGAAAACGTAAGTTTCAATGTTAGTTCTGCCACATACTACTTTATTTCTAAAAATGTACACGTATTTATAGCCTTCCTTTTTTCACAAAGACATGACAATAAATAAAGGTAAATAAAGCCATAAAACTGAAGATGAAAAGAACAGAGAAAACACATGACACCGACTAGGAATTTTTTTATTTTTAGAACTGGGGATTGAACTCAGGCCCTTGCGCTTGCCAGGCAAGTGCTTATTCTACTAAGCTATCTCCCCAGCCCAACTACTAGGATTAACACAGGTTTGGCAGTACATTCATATTCAACTCTGGGCTTCCTGACAGTCAGCAACAGAGGAAAGCCCACCACCTCTAATGTCATTATCACTGGAATCTCTTAATTACCCACATTAACATTGTGCTGAAAGTGCAGTGTGTTATACGCATGTACATGTATAATAACCTACTTGATCATTCCAATAATTTGTTAAGAATATAATATTGGGGGCCGGGGAGATGGCTCAGAGGAATAAGTGCTTCCCTGGCAAGCACAAGGGCCTGAGTTCAATCCCCGGTTCCGCAAAAAGAAAAAAGGAATATAATATTGGTAACCCTATTTTATCAGGTAAAGAAATCAAAGGCTCAAAGTCAACTAATATGTGTAATAAAAAGTTAAATTATTGAGATTGATAACAGGAAATCAACAGAGCACGTTTCCTTGCTCTTGGTTAGGCACTCTATCCCACTTCATGCTGCTTTAGCTTTTAAACCTACAGAACTGGAGTAACAGAAGTTATTCTCAGCATTTCTACGGCAAATACAAAAGTAAACTTTATATAGTTATTTCTTACAGTAATTATTTATCGAACAGCAGAAAGTAAAAATGTAACTAGATAAAAATGAAGATAAATAAAGATACTTAAGACATCATATATGATAATAAGTGCAGAAACCTCATGAACTAAAAAGTACTATAAAAAGACACAACCTCTTCTTTTTTTTTTTTTTTGGCAGAGCCAGGGATTGAACTCAGGGGCTTGTGCTTGCCAGGGAAGCACTTATTCCACTGAGTCATCTCCCCGGCCCCAATACAACCTCTTCTGATGATTAGAAATCATTAAGGATCTCTACTTCCTCTTTTCAACCACATTTTCTGGATGGTCCCTGTTTAGCTCTAAAGTAATCATACTTTTCGTGCAAATATATATATATATATATATCTTTGTCTAAATAGAGTTGTTTCATAGAAGCCAAACTATTAAAAATCAAATTTTGAAAACTTTCCCTGTATTCCAGAATAAGTTCAATTATCTGGGTAAAACAATCAGATATTTAAATCTAAAACTCTGATAGGCTTTATGTTGTAATTAGAAAACTATATGAAATAATCTCATACCTAAAAAGATTTATCACATCTTTTCTTCATTTTTCTAAAAAAAATCCTTGTCATACACAGAGAAAAGGAAAGCAGAATTTGGTTTTTTTCCCTATGAAAAGAAATGAATTAATACAGCCTTTAGGACCCAGAATTTTTCAGATAAAGGAGAAAAAAAGTACACTTGATTTGGAAGTGTTCGTAATGTCACAAAACAGGAAATGAAGCAATTAAGTCCGCATAAGGAATTTTTTATCATGCTGTATAATATGAACCTTACACAGGTGTGGTCGTAACTGCCACATTCTTTGTCACCATGATTTGCTGAGAAGTGACGGCAGAATTATTTATTCTCCTCTTTTGTTTAAGTACCCTGGGTGCTTTTGGCCTGCTTCTAGCCCCACCCAGGGCCTGGGCATTCTCCTTGGCCTCCCACAGGTCTGGCTCGTCCAGCACTCACACACCCTAGAGGGAGGCAGAGGCTGGCCATGCTTCAGATGGCCCCAGCACAGTGCTCTGAACACAGTGGGTAGGGAACAGCCTCTGCAGAGCGTTCTCTCTACTTCGCTTCTCCCCGTCTAATTTGTAAATGTCATGAAGAAAAGAACCACATTCATTTCACTTGCCAGTAGAATTTAACAAATCTTTATTGAATTAATAAATGGACACAATGTGAAATATTTTTTCTTACCCACTGTGATCTCCAGTTAAAAATTCTGAAATAGCGGCAGGAAGCTCTGTTTTAATAATTAAAAGGTAAGAAGACATAGCTGCAAAAGAATAACAGTTCCTGTTAGAATTTTATAAATTTCAGTCATTTATCAAATAGTGGTCTGTTGGGCATGGTGGCTCACATCTGTAATCACAGCTACTTGGGAAGCTGAGGCAGGAGGGTCACAAGTTTGAGGCTAGTTTGAATAATGTAGAGCCTGTTTTATTTATTTATTTTTATTTTTGCAGTACCAGGGATTGAACTCAGGATGCTGTGCTTGCCAGGCAAGTGCTTATTTTACTGAGCTATCTCCCTGACCCTGTAGAGCCTGTTTTAAAATAAGACAAAATCTTAGAAAAGGCTGGGGTGATAGCCCAGTGCTCCCTGGGTTCAATCACCAGTTTGTGTGAGGGCAAAAAGTAACCTTTCCAGGGACACAGATGTCCATTAGAGCCGCGCAACATATGGAAGACTAACTCCTTGTGTGTTATCCCAAAGATACACAAACCAGGAATGGAGATAAGCAGCTCTGTAGAGAAGAACAATGGGTACCTTGTGTGCACATTTCAAGTGCAAGGCAGTTTAGAAAAGAGAAAGGATCTTGACTGTAGACCCATTTACAAAGCAATTTTTTTGAAAGTTTACAAAAGATCTTACATGTTATTTCCCCTCTCCAAGGCAACTAGTGACACAGAAATATAAGTTTAACAAGTATGCTGACAACTTTTTTTTTTTTTTTTCCAGAACTCAGGCCCTTGCGTTTGCCAGGGAAGCGCTTATTCTACTGAGCCATCTCCCTGGCCCAGGCAGACAACTTTGATTATTTATTCTTGTTTACTAGGAAGAAACACCTATTCCAGAATTTCATTTCTTTTCTCTTACTTTCTCTTCTCTCTTCCTACTACCCAAACCATATTATAACCACGTTACATATAGTAAAAGAATAAATAATAAATTACATTTAAAATCATACTCTAAAAGATTAGAAAGATTCACTAGAAACCATTAGCAATCTGAAGAGATACAACTTCCCATTTTTACATACTGTACTGAGAGCTCATCTACATTTCGCAATCAGACCCTGAGCTCGCATTCTCACATTTTATCTGGTAGATCTAAGAAATAACCCAACTTTTATAGCACTTTAATAATGATCCAATATTTCTGAGGCAACTATAAAAACATAAATCCTATAAACCTTCCATCATTGATATGGTGACAGAATGCAGAATTTATATGCAAATACTTGAGGGAAGCTTAAATGCTACATGAATGATCTGGGGTTGGAACTTCAATTTAACAGAGCAAGAATCTCTCCTCCAAAGATTAAGAATATATTTTTAAAAAGAGCCAATAAAAAATGTCCATGAAGAATAAAGAATATGCTCTGTGTGCACATTTATTTTATTACTTATTTATACTTCAGGAAACAGTTCACTTTCTCCTCAGACCTATAAAAACTAAAAGCACAAGTGAATGCCAAGTCTGAATGATAAAAATCTGGGGGAAATTTGACAAAAGGCTCAATAGTTTAAGAAGAATGTGTATTTCTCTATGAACCAATTGAAAAGTAGCTGAACTTCACAACTACTGTGTAAATATATGTAACTGCTACATGAAACGACACTTAAATTCCAGAGGAAAAAATGAACATACATTAGTTTATGTATATATTTGTATGAAGATGGGCCATCACACATGAACATACACATACTGTACATGCATTCTCTAGGGTTTTTTTATTAAAATACCACATATCTATGGCAAAGTAAAATTTAGAACAGCTAAAAATGACTTCTCTAAATGCATACATATATTTTTCATTTATGACTATTTTTCCCCAGAAGAGGCATGGTTGTTGACTAAAAAGCCCACTGAGACATTTCTCCAGTCTTTTAGTTATGGCTTATAAAAATGGATTGTTACTGGTTGTGTGCCCATGTTCTCATAAGATAAAATGTATCCGTGTGGCATAGAACAGAAGGAAGGCTTACATTAACCTCCTCCATCCATGACTTTATAATACTTTATTCCAAAGAACAATGCACATATGGTGCAGTGATGAACATCATGAGCTGAATTTTCTGAAAATGGACTAGAACTACTTAAATATATCTTGAGAGGGAGGACAAAAGAAACAAGTACCTTTGAAACAGGAAATGCAGACTTCCAACTAATTTATTATCTGTCCATTAGTCTTTCTCGCTTGGATTAATCCAACGTCATGTGCTTTTCTAAAGTTTCAGACATTTATCTTTTTCAGTAATTTTCTATTATTTCTTTTGGATTTTCATTATAAAAAGCTTCAGTGAATATGGGATCATATTTCTAATACTCAATCTGTCCTTCTTTCCAGAATTCCTATTAGCCCCTGGCTAGTCACTTGATCACTTTTATCCTCTGTTGTAGCCTTCACTCTTTAGTTTTCAAATGGGAGTCCTATTTCATTAGAGTCCAGTCTGAAGAATCATGTATATTTTAAGAAACATGAACTCACCAAACATATGTTTCTTGCTCAAAAAAACTTCAGCATACAAGACATGAATATAATAAAACATGCAAAACACTGCTTGTAACAGAATGTTGGTATATATGTTAAGAGCTACAAAACAACAGAGCATACCATAGGAGGGAAATCCCACTGATTAAGCACATAAAACAAAGAAAGACACTATCCTACTCACTGTTGAAATTATTTTTCTTAACTATAAATACACTTTTCATGTGAACTAGCACTTCAGCACAGCATACTATATATAATACAGAGAAGAGACAAAAAAAGATTACTCAATATATATTAGGTTAGGAAATACAACTTACAGTCACATAAAAAATTCATTCAGTAAAGTAAATTGGAAAGTTTTAAAGATAGAATGTCAACAGGAGAGCTCATATGTTCACTGTCTTTAACTAAAAGGTTCACTATGTCCAATAACTAGCTGTTTGCCATACCCTTTGTCTCCTGTCTTCTATTAATGGCATAAGGAAATGTTTAAAGAGTCATCTTAGAGACAGATCATAAGCAAGAATTTGTAAATGATTTTTGCTGACATCAAGATAGAGTACAAACTTCTAATACAAGACACGTCACATTGTACTCTAACTTAATAGTTATAACCAGGCCATCCATAATACCATGCTTATAGTTAAGTAGCCCCGGCCTTCTTATCATGAAAGCCTATATTAGTGCTAAAAGATACACTTTGATGACAGTTACTCAGCATTACAAACCATTTAGTTTCACCACATCAATTAAATAGGTATTCTTTTTTCTTTCATTTTAAACATAACTAGTAAACTTATTTCATAGACACTGTCCTAGGGATGAAATTTTTTTTTTTTTTAAATCTGTCAACCTAGCCAAAACGCAGAAATTGAAAACATTCTTTAAAAACACGTGAAGAAGCAACTGTTGGGTAAAATCTGATTAGTCAGCAGCAAGTAGAAAGGTATTAATACTGGTTGCCTTAATCACGGGATTAAACTGAGAGAGGTTGAGGAGAGAGACCTTAAAGAAAAGGAAAAGGGTTTGTGGAGGACCATGAAAACAGCTGCCCCCTTTGGATGCAGGCACCTGTAGGATATGCTCGGCGGTATTGTAAGGGAGATGGTAATTATTTCATTTAATTTCCACCCAGACCTGAGAGGGAGATATTATTTATTTTACAGACGAAGAAATGGAAGCACAAAGAAGTAATTTGCCTAAACTAGTCATGGTGGAAACAGCCAGTGTGGCTAGAAAACTCATGCTATTACCAAGTAGGGCAGGAGCGAGTGCAACAACAAAGTGAAGAAGCAACTGACCAAAGCAAAGAAAAATAAGAAAACCCAATCAATAGGGCTTCTGTACAGAATTATTCTTTTGTAGCTTTTCATCATCATCATTTAAGCAACAAACTGCTTCTGGCTGTTGAGTTTAACAGTTGGGTTCAAACAAACAAACAAACAAACAAACAAACAAACAATCTGTAACAAAAATATTAATGAAACTTTAGCCAAAAGCTGTAACAACAATGTTCTTTTCATTACACCTTGAGATGTATTCTTAATGTATTACATTTCCACTTTAAAGCTGGACTGATGAAACGATTAGCTCAAAATTCAGTTTCATGATACAACTTCACTGCATCTACTATCATGATTTGGCTGCATTTACAATAATGATTATAGTTCTGAAAAGAAACTTTCCTACTTTCACATACTTGAATGCTTGAGACTTCATACTGAAATCTCAAAATTAAACAAAAATCAACCTTTCTGCTCCAAAGTCTGCACTATTAGGGTCTGTTTTCTCCCCCAGCAGTTTGAAAATGCCTCTCAATTTGACATGAGTTAAGTGTACAACCTTAAAAAGAAAAGACTTAATTGAGTTTGGGCTGAAGAAGCCATTAGTTCACAAAAATAGCTGTCCATTCTGTTCAACACTTAAAATACATGTATGAAGATAGGACTACTTGCAGCTATTTTTAAAACAGAATTAGGTTTGCAGAATTTGGGGGAAGTTCAGCAACTCCTTAACAGATTAGTCAGTCAGGCTAAACAAACAGATGCACTATGGGAGGAAATCATAAGTTTGTCTTTCCATTTATAAGATTCAATTTTACTTCAATCTTGTTTTAGTCATGCATAATAACTAGTTTATTCAACATGTCTTTTTAACCTTGTGTTTCCACTAAATGTCACTTTACCAATTTGTGCACAAACGGAAATCAAACTATATAGTGGAAAGTGTTCTCCACAACACTAAAAAAGTCTTTAGATTTATTAAGACAGTATATTTAAGTACAAAGTGACCAAAACAATCTATTGTTCTGAAAATCTTATAATTAAACATGAACAGAAATCATCACTAAGAAATGTATTATTTTGGAAAACTATTTAAAATATGTTATTAGTTAGGTTTTGTTATTAGTAGGTTTTGTCAATGTAAGTACTTATTAAAAAGATTCTCCACAGATTTCCTGTACTTCTAAAGCAGTGCTTTCTACAATTTCCCGACAAGAAAGACTGCAAGAGCTCAAAAAAAACTGTCCTTTGGTTAGAGACACTGACCAGCAG